TTCAGAAACTTTTCTTTTTCTCAAAATCTGAATATTTTTTACTTGAAAAAATGCACACAGAAACTTTTCTTTTTCTCAAAATCTGAATATTTTTTACTTGAAAAAATGCACAAAGATCAAAGCTTATACGGATTGAAACAGGCCCCAAGACAGTGGTATAAGGAGCTCGATAACTTCATGCAGAACAATGGCTATGGTAGATGTAATTCAAATCATTACTGTTACTTCAAGAGGTTCGAGTCCAGCCATATCGTGTTATTACTGTATGTTGATGACATGTTAGCTGCAGGACCATGTTTACAGGAGATAAACAAGCTGAAGAAACAGCTAGCAAAGAAGTTTGCCATGAAGGATCTGTGTACAACGAAGCAGATTCTTGGGATGCGGATTAGCCGAGATGCGGCTAAGGGGACGCTGAAGCTGAGTCAGTCTGAATACATTGAAAAAGTACTTCAGAGATTCAACATGCAGAATGCTAAGGTCGTTAGCACGCTCCCTGGAAGCCAGTTTAAGTTATCTGGCGAGCAATCGCCCAAGACTGATGGAGAGAAGGAGCACATGAGGAAGGTGCCATATTCATCAGCCATTGGTAGTCTGATATACGCAATGGTTTACACGAGGTCGGATATTGCCCATGCAGTAGGACTTGTGAGCAGGTTTGCAAGCAACCTAGGGAAGTAGCATTGGGAGGCCGTGAAGTAGATATTACGATATCTGAGAGAGACTATGAATATGCCATTGTGTTTTGAGAGAAAGGAGTTGGTGCTGTAGGGATACGTGGATGCAGATTTTGCCGGTGATCATGATACAATGCGAAGCACCATTGGGTATGTTTATACCTTAGAGTCGATAGCAGTGAGCTGGGTCTCACGTTTACAGAAGATTATGACGTTGTCCACAACTAAGGCAGTGTATGTTGCAGTGACCGAGGCGAGCAAAGAGATGATTTGGTTAACCGGGTGCCTGGAAGAGTTGCGTCTGAAGCGGGGGAACGAAGTTCTTTATTGTGATAGTCAGAGTGCTATACACCTTGCCAAGAACCCAGTATTTCATGCCAGAACGAAGTGCATCGAGTTACGTTACCACTTCATATGCTCAATGATTGAGGACGAGAAGTTACAGTTGGAGAAGATTTTGGGGAGTCAAAATCCTGCAGATATGTTGACTAAAATGGTGATCATTCAAAAACTAAAGTTGTGCGCAACTTCAGTTGGCCTTCATATGTAAGAGATGAGGGCGGAGCCACACATGAGAAGATGCTTGTTAAGAGAGAGTTTGCTGACAGCGGTTTGGTCTCCAAGTGGGAGATTGTTGGAAATTAGGTGTAGACCCAAACCTCGTCGGCTTCGGCGAGCACAAGGTCAGCGACGACGAGCTTTAAACGAGTCGAACATGCGAGGGCGATGCTCTGTTGGTGAGATTGTCGGGCTTCAGGTGAGGTCCAGCGAAGGCGAGCTTGAAGTCGAGCGCATGCGAGATCAATGATCTTGCAGGCGAGTTTGGAGAAGACTCGCTGGTGATATCTCTTCTATAGGCGAGTTTGAAAGGGGGCGACGATTCCAGGCGGAGTCGACATGTTGCAGGCGAACTCGAGAACCCACATTTGGCGAGTTCGAGCTGTTGCTTTCCCAGGCAAGTTTTGGGAACGAGCTCGTGGTTCCCCCCCTTCTTTTCGCCTGCGATGTTGGAGAACAACTGTCTCCAGCTGTTTGGCTATGGTTTTCCTATTTAAGGGAACCCTGTGCCCGAGAGAACGCTGCCCCCCATTCTCCTTCTTCTGATATCATTTATTTTGGCGGTGGCTGAGCACGAGATTTTCAAGTTAAAAATCTCAGTTATTAGAGGATTAATTCCTGTAGCGATTTATTGAGGAGAGAGAGGAGATTTTTCAAGTTGGAAAATCTCGCGCCATATTTAAACAACAGAGAGTTTCTGTTGGTTCTTCTCTTGAGAGATCTCAAGTTGAGATCTACTCTTTTACAAGCTTTGCAATCTTTTTTAATATAAATGAAATTATTTGTGTGGCTCCCGAGGATGTAGGTAAGTTGCCGAACCTCGTTAAAACTCGGTGCTCTCTGTTCTTGCTACTTTTGATTTGTTGTGATTTATTTTTTTTATTACTTAACACAAGATCCGGTAGGGCAAATTCCGCAGAGAGTTCATATTTGACAGTAGGTCGAATAGCTAAGGAGCAGTTGTACCAACGTTTGGTAGCTTAAATCCCCAACAACGAACATCAAAGCGTATCTGATATTTCCTAACAATATAATATTTGACAGTAGGTCGAATAGCTAAGGAGCAGTTGTACCAACGTTTGGTAGCTTAAATCCCCAACAACGAACATCAAAGCGTATCTGATATTTCCTAACAATATA